AGGAAATGTCCAGCATCACTGTCACCCCCATTTATTTTAGGAAGAATACCTATAAATAAGGAAGTCTAGACATTAAGGTTGCCTGTACTTCCCATCTATAATTGCACTGGCTACCACAATGCTAAAATTTAAGCAATACAAAACCTAAGGCACTTCTCTGAATCTAGTCAAGCATTCTTATATAACCCAGAGCAGAATTCTGTAGAGGACACAATATACTCTTCCTCTCTTCCATAAGAAAGCAATGTTGATAACTGAGGAAAGTCCCAAGCTTTCTGCTGTCATGACCCATGTCAAAAACTGAACAACATGGAGTGCCTCTGCTAGCAAACAATAAGAAAAGCTGGCAGGATGAATATCTCCCCTCCCAGCCTAAACCCCCAGGCAAGAATATCCATGGTGACCGGGAGCCCTGAAGCATTTGCAGCAGACAGAATATTTCCAGACAGATGAAAACACATTGTACTGCCAGAGCCACATAAGCCTTTTCTGATTTGGTCAGCATCATCTTATGCATGATTTAGTAATGACTTTGTATTCAGCTTTACCGTAGGAGAACTGCACAGGTCAAGGCATCCTAGTTCTTTTCCTTTTTGATGGACTGTTACTTGCTCTCTTGTGGGAAACCCAAGACATTTTTCCTCGGATACATGTGCATATTTTTTTCTTGTCCAAACGATCTGATACCTTAACTTTATATTCTTCCATTTTGTAACTTATCATTCTAAAATGTAAATATCTTTGTTAAGCATTTACAACATAAAAGTGCTGTGTATTGTACTGCGTATAAGGAGACAGACAAATTTAAAAGTAGATATTTCAATCTTCATTCATTAAACTCCACTTATGTTACTTTCAGTTATTTGAGAATAACCAGATGGTTCTTACATTGTGAATATAATCTGTATTTATCTGCTCCTTTCTTCTGTTTATCTTGAAAAAACAAGATTTAAAAAGTCAACTTTCTTAAAAAGGTATAAATAAATAAGGGTATCTTGGAAAAGTAATTTTTAAAAGACTGAAAAAATGTGGGAACCCAAAAACAATTTCTTTATTATATCCTATGAAACTTAATAGCCTGACAGAAGAGACATTATTTTCTCCTTGAGGAAATACTGCAACTTAGATTAGCATCACTGGTATATTTTCCTTGACCACCTTCGTATTCTAAGCCTTTGAGTACAGGTAGTGTTAATCAGCTTAAAACGTGTTCCTGCATCATCATAGTCGTATCCTATCTGCACCGTTTTCAGAGTTTGCCCAAAGGAGCAGCAGCACAAGGAATAAAGCTGGATTTTCTCCTAAGACCCAGGCACCATCCAAGGTTTCTTTTCGCGACAGCACTTCAGAGGAAAGAGAGCCCTCTGCTGCTCTATACGAGACATGCTGCAGCGTGTCTTTTTCAGGGTGGGTTTTAGGAACGGAAGTGCAAACCTCTGCTGTTTTCCTCTCATGCTGTGGAGTCAGACGACAAGGGAAGCGGGGCTCTGAGAGGTGCCGTCCACTACCTCTCCAGCCTAGCACAGAGCACAGCTGCATCCAGCGTTTAAAGTAACCAGGGCAAAAATGTTTAAATACAAACAAAAGTCCTTTTTAGAACTAAAAATAAATAAAGTCAGAAAATGCTTCAAATCCTTGACATCAGGGCTGCATCACAAGTATGACATAGTCTGACAGAGCAGAACAACAACCAGAAGTGCCTGATAGGCTGGACAGAGAAAAAACACACCTGTTTCCATACAGCTACACACAAAGTCAGCCTCCAGGGAATAAGGAATGACATTTTTATATGCTGTGACAAAGATCAATACACCATACACACTCCTGAATCTGTATTTATGGTGTCACCTTTTGACTGTGGGGCTGCAGCCTCACAGTCAAGCTGCTTTTGGTGCAGTGTGTCCCTAGGCGAGGAAGATTCACTCAACACTGCAGGTCTGTCAGATCTGAGAAGGAAACAGCAAGGCAGAGAAATCCATGTTCCTTGCTATTCCAAGGTTTGCTGGCACTATCCCATACCAAGAATATAGGTAGATTTAAGATAGAATATGCCTTGGAGAAAAGAAACAAGAGAGGTTAAAAAAAAAAGGAACACCTAGGAAAAGCTTTGTCTACCACTCCAATCCCTGCAGCCCCTCATCATCCCTGTGTTATGATGAGTAGAGTCTATGGAGAGCTTGGGGTTCAGCCTATGGGTGGAAGTGATCATGCTCATGATCCTGGGAATGCTGTGCACAGGCCTGGCCCATACAATCCTAGAGTTCCTTCTTCATGGGCTGGATGCTAGTGCATTGGGGTCTGTCTAGTGGTATGTACAGAAAGGCCAGGAAGAGTACAGCAGGTGTGAAATGGAAAGCTAAAGTCTTTGAGTACTACAAACCAAATCTGCACTTCTCATAAAATGTTGTGAAATATATTTGATGTGTGCTTTCTCAGAATAAGGCAATTGGTTTTCTTTCTGTAATTTTGGCTGTAAGAATGGCTTCCAGGTAAGTCTGACTCACAGAAGACACTTAGGCTTAATTTCAGAACCAGAAGAGAAGCCCTGGTTTGCTTCACATGTTCACATAGATGTGATCATGTATGACTGGCACACAGCTACACTCATTCTATTGATACTTGCAAACTCAGTATAACTACCTTGTGTGAAATGATATAGCTGAATAAGCCACCAGGAATCTTTTGCATTCTTCCATTTTCCAGAACACAGAATTTTCCAGGCAGTTACTTACACATCAATAGGATGGCACAGGCATCTCAACAAAGTCAAGGCTTTCAGCAGATGACTGCCAGGATCATCAAAATGACTCATCACTTGCAAAGGCACAGATAAGTAAGTGGAGGTGGCTCCCATGTAAGAGTCTGTAAAACTTAAAGACCTCTACTCTGTTGTTAGCTTTGAATGAGGTTGAAACCCACTGATTCTGAGAGGAAAAGCTCTGTTGCATATCCCATGGTGGTAAGTAATTTATATTTAATGTAATTTATATTGGTGCATTTTTATATGCACCTCTCCTATGAAGACAGGCTGAGAAAGTTTGGGCCGTTCAGCCTGGAGAAGTTTGCATGGAGACCTCATAGCAACTTTCCAGTATCTGAAGGGGGGATAAGAGGGACTCTTCATCTGGAATTGCAGTGATACGACAAGGAGTAATGGGTACAAATTGAAAGAGGGGAAATTTAGGTTAGATATTAGGATGAAATTTTTTACTGTGAGGGTGGTGAGACACTGGAACAAACTGCCCAGGAGGTTGTAGATGCCCTAACCCTGGAGGTGTTCAGAGCCAGGCTGGATAAAGCCTTGAGCAACCTGGTCTACTGGGAAGTGTCCCTGCCCATGGCAGAGGGGTTGGGACTCAAAGGTTTTTTAGGGTCCGTTCCAACTCCTTAAAATATTATATGATTCTATGATTCTAAAGCCTCACTCCAGGAACTGGGCACCGCACATGCACACAGCGTAAAAAGCCCCTGTGCTGCAGATATTTCAATTATTGTTACATGAGCGTTTTGACGGTTACACAGACCCAGCACCCGCACCCCAAGCCTTCCTGTTTAATATCTTTATTGATGATTTAGATGAGGGGATTGAGTCCACCATTAGCAAATTTGCAGAAGACACCAAGCTGGGGGGGAGTGTCGATCAGCTGGAAGGCAGGAGGGCTCTGCACAGAGACCTGAACAGACTGGAGAGTTGGGCTGATTCCAGTGGGATGAGGTTCAACAAGGCCAAGTACCGAGTCCTGCACTTTGGCCACAACAACCCCCTGCAGTGCTACAGACTGGGCACAGAGTGGCTGGAGAGCAGCAAGGCAGAGAGACCTGGGAGTTTGGACTGACAGGAAGCTGAACGTGAGCCAGCTGTGTGCCCAGGTGGCCAAGAAGGCCAATGGCATCCTGGCCTGTATCAGGAACAGTGTGGCCAGCAGGACCAGGGAAGTGATTCTTTCCCTGGGCTCAGTGCTGGTGAGGCCACACCTGGAGTGCTGTGTCCAGTTCTGGGCCCCTCAGTTCAGGAAGGATATTGAGGTGCTGGAGCAGGACCAGAGAAGAGCAACAAGGCTGGTGAAGGGACTCAAGCACAAGTCCTATGAGGAGAGACTGAAGGAGCTGGGGTTGTTCAGCCTGGAGACGAGGAAGCTCAGGGGAGACCTCCTCACTCTCTACAACTCCCTGAAAGGAGGTTGTAGCCAGGTGGGGGTTGGTCTCTTCTCCCAAGCAACTATCAGTAAGACAAGAGGGCACAGTCTTAAGCTCTGCCAGGGGAGGTTTAGGTTGGATATTAGGTAGAAATTCTTTACAGAGAGGGTAATCAGGCATTGGAATGGGCTGCTCAGGGAGGCGGTGAATTCTCTGTCCCTGGAGGTTTTTAAGATGAGACTGGATGTGGCACTCAGTACCATGGTCTACTAACCGCAGCGGTACTGGATCAAGGGTTGGACTTGATGATCTCGAAGGTCCTTTCCAATCCGCCTGATTCTATGATTCCATGATTCCACGATTCCCCGCCTCACCCGCGGTGCCGCAGCGCAGCCGCACCCAGCAACCCCTCCCCTTCACCGAGGAACAGCTACGCGCGCTGCTCGTGTGCTGGGCGGCCCGGGGAAGGGAGGACGTGGTCCGCCTGATCAGATCTGCCCTAAATATGTAAAACTTCTCCCACAGCAGTGGGGACACCCCGCACAGCGACGCCGTCCCTCGGCCGCTTGTCGGCGCGTCCCTGCGGCCCCTTCAGTCAGCGGGACAGGGGCGGGGGGGCAGGAGCGCCCGCCCTCACTAAAGATGGCCGCCGGGACGCAGCCAGCCAGCAGCGCAGCGCTTGCGGCTGAAGCCGTTCCAGCCGGCAGTGCCCGTCAACATGACCGGCGGGGGGCTGTGGCCGCCGGTGCCCGGGCGCCGCCGGGGGAGAGCGGTGCGGCGAGGAGCGGAGGCCGAGCCCGAGCCGAGCCGGGCCGGGGCTGAGCTGAGCCAGCCCGAGCCGGGAGCGGAGCCAGAGCCGAGCCGGGCCGGGCTGCCGCGGCAGCAGCGGTGGCGCCGGGCGCCCTGGCCCTGGGCGCGCTGCGCGGTCCGAGTAGCAGCAGCGAGATGGAGCCCGAGGAGGGAGAGGACCGCACCCCGCTGCTGAAGGAGTCCCAGCCCGGCACGGGTGAGAGGAGTGGCAGCTGCCCTTGTGTGAGAGCGTCCCGTTGCCATGGAGCCGCGGGCCGAGAGCGCCGCCGTGGGCCCGGGGGTCGGGCCCGGGGGCGTCGGGTCAGACGCGACCCCGCGTCCTGAGAGCGGTCGCCGCTCTGTCGGTGGCTGGGGAGAGGCAGTGCTGTCGCACACACCTGCCTTCGGGTTGGTGTCTTTGCAGTGAAGACAAGCGGGAAATTCCAGCCCAAATGCCCGTCTGACTGTTAAAGACTGCGAGGTCGTGGCAGAATTTCATTTTAAGGCAGGTTTTGAGTAAGATGAATTGCTTGTTATGAAACCATGGAGAAGAAGGAAGGTGGAAGGAGGCACGGATGTAGTTGTAGGAGAGAAGGCTCTTTATGGGATCAGGGCTTGACAACAGAACTTGCGTGTTTAGTGGTTGTCTGTGCTGGTTTGTTTCCCGCAATGTATAAATGGTAAAAAGATTTTTAGCTTCTTCAGTATGCCGTGCAAAGATGCTCTAATCTACTTAAGCAAATGTATGACTGCATCAAGGGAAGCCGCTAACAAAATGACAGAAGTAGAGAAATTTGAGTTCAAGTCTTACTAAAGCAATATGTTCCTAAGTTTGCACAATGCATCAGGCTCCGGTTGGAGGTGGTTCACCTCACCCACAAGGAAAAATACAGCAGACCAGTAACTTCCTTTAACTGCTGTGCAAGTTGCAGCACAGACCTACTTTTTAACTGCAATTTAAGAATCTTGTTCAGTTATAGCTACATTGTAGCTACAGTACTTTAAAGCATGCCCCTGAAGTCAGAATTAACTATTGACGTAGGACCAAAGACTGCTAGTCAAGGTAAGACCTTGAACGTGATGGTTACCTGCTTTAAACTTTAGGGGAGTTGCATGTCTATGTCTCTTTGATTGTACCAATCTCCTGAAGAGGTGAGTGACTGAAATATATCTGGAATCTTCTTGAATCTTTTGTTCTATTAACCTGATCTAATATTCTCAGGTATTGCAAATGCGCTTAGTGGAATGACAGGGAAGCAGTAATTTAGTAGCTGTTTGTTTCAGGCTTTCATATCAACATGTTTGTTAGGTTTTTATAATAAACTATTTACAGTTGAAAAAAAAAATCTGACATTACTGACCTTAAGTTCTTACACACCTGTTTTGTGGAGCTTACTGTCCAGACAATCCAGTGAGAATCTTACAGAGGAAGAGTAATGGATTTTCCAGTTAATCTGCATTTCCAAGGATGGTTTGCATCATCACTGTGTTATTCAGCCTTCTGTTATTATTGTCTAACCCCAGCAAGTACAAGAAGTGGAATGATTAAATAGCTTTACCTGTATTCATATTTATTATTATAAATTACATTTTCTACTTAAGGCAAATTGCTTTTTAAACAGCAATAAAGGACAACAAAGCTGCTTGACTAGTTTTTGTGCAGTAAGCACTTCCTGTTCTTGGTGCCTATTGTTTTTAAAGTAAGCAATCAAATCTTGGCTGCTCTCCTTCTTATTTAAAAATCCGTGTGCCTTTTTCAAATGCTGCTAGGCAAGATTGCAATACTGCAAGTCTGGAAGGGGTTTTGCATATTTATACAATAGCCTTGTTTATTACTCATTTACTAAATGAACATAGAAATACAACATCCCTGTGTCATTTTAACAACTTGTGTAGCCATAATGAACTTCACATAGAGTTCATCAGGGTTAGAGACTTCAAAAATGGGAAAGTTCTACTAATTTCATGAATAACAGTCTTGCAGAAAGGCTCTGTTGGTGTCCCCACTGAAAAATAAAATTGCATGGCCTCATTCCTTCTTTCAGGGAAGTTACTGGGAAGGGAAAAGTATCACATTAACTTGACCACATGGCATGCTCTTTGTTTCTTCCTGTGGATTAGAGAATCCAGTCAAGTGACATGCTGTGGTATCAGATGAAGCTCCAGTCAGTCCTGTTGTTCATAGATGTACTTGTTCTATTCATCATTTGAATTCTGAATAGTCAGAGGAAGATGAGATCACTGTAGACTGATGTAATATCTGTAGGTGCTGATCCCCAGCCTTCCTGGAGCTTCAGATGTCTAGCACCGTAGTTTCCTCACAAGAGGGGAAACTCAACCCCTAACTATTTGTAAATCCGGTAGGTTCTTCAAGTAGCTTCTCAACAGTTTGCCATTTCTACTCAGTAGGTTTGAGGCATTCCCAGTTCATAAAGAGTAACTGCAGAGCTCTAAACTGTTATAGCTCAACTATGATCTTTGCCAAATGGTGCTGTGTACTACTGTACAAGGAAATCAATAACTGTGTTACAGTGCAAAGTCTGATATCTGTGTTTAAATAGCTGGCGGAGTCGACTTAATGTCACAACACACATTTTATGCTGAATCTTAAGACTCATTTTCCTTTGTCGTTGTTTGGTGACTGCCAAGAGGGACAACTGAGAAACTGTTCTGTTTCACAGTGCTACCGCAGTATTTGCCATTCCCCTTTCTGGTAGTTTGGTCTGTTTGGAACTGTCAGCAAATGCATATTCCCTCATAAGCAAACTTATAGAAGGAAGACTTGTCCTAGAAAACAGCCTGGAATCACAATGACTGTTCTTTACGACTACTTTAAGAGTATCTGTTTTCTTGAGACATTCTGTGCGTATGACAGGCTTCCCACTAATTTGGGTTGGGGCTTTTTTTAAGTGTGAAGTTCTACTTTGAATAAGTATTACAGTATTTTGGAGAGGATGTTTGAAACTGTGTTTCAAAATCCATTTCCACAGACCACACAGTAGACTTTCACTGCAGCCCGTGCTTTTGTGTGGGTAACTGCCAGTTGTCTAAACCAAGATTACATTTGTTTTACACATCAGTCCAAAAGTGGACTTTTTAAAATTTTTTTCCCAACCACACTCAACCACTTCCCCTATTGAATAAACCCCTTAAGAAAAATTAGCTTGTCTCCTTTCTCTGTTTTTTCCAAGACTGTTAGTAAAAACTGCTTATCAGTTGTTCTTTTGTTCTTATTTTGTTAGGTTCTGTTAAAACAAACATTCTTTATTTGCTCTCGTTTCAGTCCCTGCATGCTGCTCAGCTCGCTACAACCTAGCACTCCTGGCCTGTTTTGGGTTCTTCCTCCTGTATGCATTACGTGTGAATCTAAGCGTTGCTCTGGTGGATATGGTAGAACCTAACACAAGCTTAGCAAAGAATGCGACTTCCAATGTGTGTCCAGAGCATTCTTCCACCATAAATGTTCCTCGCAACACAACGGTGAGGTCTCAAACATACTGTCCTCTAATGCAGCTTGTAAAAGTGGTTTTGGTGGAAGTCTGTGATAGATAGAATCATACTTAGGTGGCAAGAGAACAGGCTACTTTTTACTGGATGGCCTTTCCAGTGGTTCTTTTAAAGCTATTATGAAAATACTATCTTTAAATGACTAACTAATTTAGGAGTGCTCAGGGTCAGTTTTTTTATGTACCTCCTTCCTGTACTATTCCTTAAAAATTGGCTAATCTGTCCCTGTAGATCTGTTGTGACTCACTGTTTTATATGCCAGTGATCAACTGTTACTGTTATATCTGCATCAGAGCTCATATCAATGTCCACATTTGCCTGTTCTTCATACAGTCATAATGGCATGAAATTTCATTACAAATTAACATGTAATATTTTTTGTTTCACTTCTTTGATCTCTTTCCCAGATTGTGTTTTTTGTCTTTATGTCATTTATCTCTGACTTTCCTTCCAGTAATTCTTAAAATCACATTTCTTAACTAAATTGTTGGATATAAAAAAAAGCTTTTAAAAAAACCCTCAACTTTGTGAATTTGGGCTTGTAGAGATCTCATAGCTGAAGTTATTACTGGGCACTCTTACTATCTTCCTACTTTCATTTTTTTGCTTGTTTAGAGGTCATTTATTATTTATCAAAAATTATAACAGTGAACTTTTTGGGAAGATTCTGTCTCATTGCCTCTGTGAAATCTATGCTGCTCATTTAGATGCTTAAAATTTTTTCTTTTGGAAGTGATCCCAAACTTCAGAATCACTTTACTGGGCAGCAGTCCATATCTTCTTGCTGACTTCCTTTATAGCTGCTGACTCCTTGTTTTGATTCTCTTCATTTTTATTACTTTGTCTGCTAAACTCATCTTCCCTCTGTTGTGCTTAACTTATTATTCCACCTATCCTTGTGAATCCTGTCCTTGACTGCTCTCTTTTTTTATATTAAATTTAAGCACCTTCATCTCCTTGTTTGTTCTTTCTGTCCATAAATTTTCTGTGGGTAAAGCCATTTTCTAGATCGTGACAGAATGTCCCCACTGCGATACAGAAGTGGGACTTGCATTCGGGCAGACTGCGTAGTCTGTACCTGTCACCTATCCCAAGCTGCTTAGAACTCAGAAATTACATTTCATGTTGTGATGATTCTCATGCTTGGTCTAGATATGTATGTACAGACTGTAAACTACCTGAATTAGCTTTTAACATGACTTTGATTGCAGTATATATGTGTGTAGAGGAAGGAGACCCCTGGGAATAGGCCACAAAAAATTTGAAACTCAGTTATAAAGGACTAAATGATGGATCAATGTTATATAAAATATGGTCAGAAAAACTGCTATTTTGAACTTACTGCATTTTGTTGGTTTTTGTCTCTTTGTAGGGGGAAAAGTATTCTTGGGATGCTGATACTCAGGGATGGATCCTTGGTTCTTTTTTCTATGGTTATATCATTACTCAGATTCCAGGAGGATATCTTGCAAGCAGAATTGGAGGGAAGCTTTTGCTGGGGTTTGGCATCTTTGGTACCTCTATATTCACCTTGCTTACTCCCTTAGCTGCAAACTTGGGAGTTGGCTACCTCATAGCTGTCAGAGCCTTGGAAGGACTGGGAGAGGTAATACTTTTTCTCTGTGTAACTTGAAAATGTGTCTGAATAATTTATTAATGACTTTTAGTGACTAGACCCTGTGGGTGTTGGTATGATGAAGTAGTATATGGATTGTTTAATTTTGAGTGGCTTAGTTTTGGGGTTTTTTGAATAATTAAAAAATTTGCACTATATTTTAGCCTAAGCTTTTCAAATAAGAAAAAGTTTTGTCTGTAAGGACACTTGGGTCAAAACTAGAGTTATCCCTTCCCATTTTCCTGAAACCAGGACCTCACAACATTATTGTTTGTATTGTTGATGCTTTTCCATTATATACGGAATCAAAACCAGGAGAAATTAATTCTATCTTCTTACTTTCATGCCTTGCGCACTTTTTATAAGTAGTTTCTTAATAAACATCAAACTTAATAGATTGTATTGCTGCTTTTTAATGAAATAAGCTTTGAACCATGTAGAGTTGAAGGGAGTTCTAAAGTCCTTGCATTTCAACAGACTGAAATGTTTTCTAGGGTGTTACCTTCCCAGCTATGCATTCAATGTGGTCTTCTTGGGCTCCTCCACTGGAACGCAGCAAGCTCCTTAGTATTTCATATGCAGGTGAGAAATTCCCACGCTGATAATGGGATTATACGTTTTTATTGCAGTAAGGGGGAGGATTGACTTAAATCAAAGGGATTTATAGTGTAAATTTTAATCAGCATTTAATCCAGAAAGCATAATGTTAAATTAAGTCTTGCTTTGCTTTGGTTATCTTCATTTACTCATGGCTTTTACAACTCTGAGAAAAGGTACTGATCTGCAACTAAATATAAACTTCAGCCTAACTTTGGTTTAAAGTGATGCAAAGAGTTACTGGGAAGCTGATTAATAGAAGATACTGTAAAGAAAAGAGATTTAATATTAGGAACAAAAAAGAAGGGCCAGTCACACGATAGAGGTGTTTGGTTGGTTGTTTTTTGGATTTTTTTTTTTAAGTGTTTTTGGAGGAATATAGGGAAGAAAAGGTCCTAGGTATTGCTGGAAGAGCTCCTTGTTAAAGTCCAATACTCCCAGACCAGATTCTCTTAGATATTCTATGCCTGGAAGATGTAATGTTTGATTTCAAATTTACTTGTTTGAAGATATTTGATGTTATACAGGATTTTTGATTTAGCAGAGTGATACAGAATATAGTGAAAGTACAGTACAAATGTAAGTTAACACTTAGCAAAATATATCAATTGCAATATTTGTTTGAGTTGAAGGCAGCTTTCGAGTCTATTTTCTCTCAGAAATGCTTTTCTTAGTTGTTTAGCTTTTATAGTTTGTGTTGGGCTGACCCACATATTAATTTCCCTCATGTTGGTCTGGCTAGCTCAGGGAGACAGTCACACTTTTAAGGAATGAGATGTGACTCATTTATCCCATCAGATCCACTCAACTGACATAGCTGCTTATCTAAAACAAAGGCCACACTCTGGTGCCCTTTATGTTGAGATAAAATCAGCCTCTTTGCAAGAGAGGTATGGTTGGTCACACCCTGTGCTATTCCCCAAGCTTAATGGTCACATTGCTCTTGCCCATCTCCACTGAGCATTTTTGCATTTTAGGGACTTAGTGGTCAGTCACATTGCTCAATGCTGTATTTGTGGAGCAGGTGAAACACATAGGTTTTTTAATGTGCTAGTCAAAAGTGATATTATTTCTTTGCAGATGACAAATTTTGCATTCAGTTAATGAAGTAATGGTTTGCTTTGCTCACTCTTGTTAGTATTACTTGTTACAGCTTTTCAGCCTCGGGGTTCATCAAGAAGACAGGGCTATACCATGTAAATTTCAGCTACAGTTTTTTAAGCAGCTAAGCCAGTCTAGTGACTCACTTGTGACAAGAGGAATGAAGCCTTAATCTTTTCTTCCTCACATTTCCTCACTTCCCTCCTAGCCAAGGGTCTAGTTCCTTCCTTTTTGCTATTTCAGGCACTCATGAGACCCTTCAACGAGATACTTTAACACACACCCCCCAATGCAGCAGAAAACTTTTATTTCCTCTCTTTTTTTTTTTTAATTTCTGTATCTGTTTTCTGCCTTAGTACTTTATTAAATCTGCTTCAAAAGAAGTGAGATCCAGCACACAAGTTAAGCAGAGGGCACAGAGTTGGGATTGACTTCTATCACATTTAGCAGTTGGGAGTTTTTAAACTGTCCTTTTGTATTTTGTGAAGCTATATGCTAATGTCCTAGTGAGAAGAGTCTGTGGCCCTGAACAGCCAACTGTTAGCAGACATGGGTGGATAAGGCATCTTGTGTAAACTTGACAGACTGTTTTCTTTCTGCCCTGTTGGCAGTCACGTGGTCTGTGGTTAATTTAATCATGATCATGTTGATATTCTGAGAAAACATGGTTGAGGTTATGTGTAGTTATTTTGATTTATATTTTGAATGATGTATGTGATTTTGTTGTTTGTGGTTGAAACTTTCTGCCTCAAATAAAAATTACTGTTTCCATGAAGATAGAATCTAGGTAGCCAGGCTATAGAAATAATCTAATGTTTTCTGATTTGAGATTAGGTTTGGAGAATTGATTATACAACTAACATTAAGAGACAAGATCTACTGTTTGTCACTAGTAGAGCATCTAAATAATATGATAATAATAATATGATAATAATAATATGTAAATAATATGAGTTGGATTTCTGGTTTAGATTTGGGAGAGGGAAACACCTACCATCCTTTGCAAAATGTATTTTGCATTATAAGCACAGGAATACCTCTTTCTGGCTTTTGGCTTGTTTCTGAACTGTAATCTGTTCCTCTTTCCCTTCTTCCTTTCCTGATCTTACACCCTGTGGATTTAGGGATCATGGAATTTGAACCTGCTGGTTATATATGGATGCCTTCTGGCTCTTGTTTCTAGCATTCCTGTTTTTTGTGGAGCTAGTAGGAGATACAAGAAATGTAAATTGATTATATTAAGTCAAAATATTATACCCTCAAGTTCTTAATTATTCTGTGATCATCTCTCTCTTGTTTAGCAGCAATACCAGTTGACTAATTTGCATTGGTTTGGATGTATTAAAGCCATCACTTTATTGGAGACAAGTGTACCAAGAATGCTTATCTATTATTGCTCTTTCCCTCTAATTTTGGCTGCTTAGGGCTTTGTGGCTCTAGTTTGCTTGGAGCTGCCAAAGCAGCTTATTGTGCCTATGTTTCTTTAAATCAAAGTGTAACCCTCTAGTGGTAGTGACAAATCTTTATGCATGATTTATTACAGAGAAATAAAATACTTATAAAGTGCCACTTATACTTAAGGGGCCCATAGGGGATCTAACTATTTTCCACTTTGTTTTGCTTTCTTCTGGTAGGTGCACAGCTGGGAACTGTTGTCTCTCTGCCACTATCTGGTTTAATTTGCTATTATATGAACTGGGTTTATGTGTTCTACATATTTGGTGAGTTTGTGTTTTGATTTTTCTTAATTATCAAATATACAATGCATATTCTTTTTGAAAAGCATTGTATATTGTTAAACTTATTTTAAGTTTTAGAAGCTTATTTAGCATGTTGGGTTGCTATTTTATTCCCTCTGGGCAATTAGAGATATTTAAAGCTAAGTAGATTCCAGTAAGTGGCTATATAAGCCTTGGTTCCAATGAGCAAAGCTGTCTATTGTACCAACAAAAGTTGGTACAAGTCAAATGCTCTTAACTCTCCCATCCCTTGGAAACAACAGGCTCAAATTTCTTATCTGAAGTGTGAAATTGAATTAATAGCTTTAATCCCAGGAATAAACTTCTCTGAATGAAAGAACGTGTGAAAAGCTACTGCTACTTAAAATGGAAACTGGGGAAAATCTCTCTCGAGCTGTCACAGGAACCCTGAAGGAATGCCCAAAATGCAAGGCATAGCATGTTTGCTGTGACTCATGTTCTACGAGAAGCTCAAACAGAAAATAGTTTTTAACAGCATGTTATAGAATGAACTGATGCTTTTTACAAGTCTATTTATATGTCTGAGCCATTTCGTATTCTGCATGGGAAAGGAAGAATTGGAATAAAAGACAAGGGGTACACTTTCCTCAACAAAACCACCTCAAATTTTTTATAAATTAAAACTATTCAAATCAAAAAATTGAACAAAATTAAATAAGTTAAAATGTTACAGTTACAGAAAAATGCAGTTAATTTGGACTGACTATTGAAAAGTTATCTTTTTTAAATGACAATTCTGGGGTTGGCTTAAGGAAGAAAAGGATGATTGGTACATCAGTTAAACTGTATGTAGTGGTATTCTGTGTATGTGCTCAAAGTATATGAATTTTTATTTCCTTTGGGTGAGCCATATCCTTTGTGTTCCATGTGACTGATAAAAATGCAATTATGTATGTGTATGCAACTTTCTTGCTGTATGAAGCACTTCAAGTAGGGGGGGAAAAAAGAAAAAAAAACCAGAAGAAAAAATTCTGCTTAGTCATTTTCATTGTATATTATCTCTACATGTGGATTGTTAAGCCACTTTGGGGAACTAGTGTTTCTAGGTAGATACAAAAATAATATTCATTAAAATTATATTGGAGTATTGAGAAAACACTGACTAAATCATCTTGAGAGTCGGTGATATCCATTCTTTCGTTCTAATTGCTTATTTTTTTTATTTCTATCTCTTCACCCATCTTTTCCCAACAATAGGTGCCCTTGGAGTATTATGGTGGTTCTTCTGGATGTGTTTGGTTAGTGATACACCAGAAACTCACAGGAGCATTTCGCATGCTGAAAGAGAATATATACTGTCTTCTCTAAAAGATCAGGTACAGCATTTCAGTATAGACTTACTTAAGTCAGAACATAAACCACAAATATTGTCATTAGCATCATGCTCTGTTTATGTTTAGAATAACATTCTTAACCTGAGATGGAAGCAGAATTTTTCAAACAGAAAATATAAAAAAACCAGCACAATTGTATAACTGAGAAACAATCAATAATCAAACAAAGCATTTGCAATAATGTCTTGTGTTACAGACATTGTTGTGGTGCTTTATTTAAAAAGCTTTTTATTTAAAAAAAGCTCAGATCTATCACTTCATACTACATCCAAACCTGTATGATGCCTTTAACATTTGCAATACAATATTTTGCAACTTTTTTTTTAAATGTGTCATCTCAAGTAAGAAAGAAATTACTGTTTGCAGAAAAAATGCTAATGAGCCAGTTCCTAAAGTGTACATAAGAGTTTATTCCTTTGACTGGGGACATATATTTACAGACAGTGAAGCTGGCTGAGAGATCAAAATTAATATTTAGGATTGAGTAAGAAAGATTCAGCTAAGTAAACACCTGAGGGGTGACTAAATATTTAATGATTTACAGTCAAAGCAGCAGGCATCAAATTTCAACAGGGGAAGGTGTACTTCTAGAAATTCTGATTATGAAATGTAATAGTAATTGGTTTACTTTGCAGTAGTAAATATCAGAGCAGTAGCACACATTAGTATACCTTCACTGTGAACTGAACACAGTAATTAATTCATTGCTAATAACTTGGATCAACTGAGACTCATTTTGTGCCTCTCAGAATGGATTATCAGCATAGATTCGGGTAGCATCAAAACACTGTATTTAGTAAATGTTCATATCAGTGTCATGATTGCTTTTTCTCTTCTCTTTGTCTCTTGCTTGCTAGCTTTCTACACAGAAATCTGTTCCCTGGAGACCTATGCTGAAGTCCCTTCCACTCTGGGCTATTGTTGTGGCACACTTCTCTTATAACTGGACTTTCTATACACTTCTTACACTCTTGCCCACATACATGAAGGAGATCCTGCGATTTGATGCACAGGAGGTGAGATAAATATGAATATAATCACTTTTTTCTGAATTAAAGAAACTAAACAGCAGAGATCTTCCTACTGTTTAGAATAGAGGAACCCATTTAAGAATCTTGAAATGTAAATGTATAGCTGGGAAGTTATAACCCCACACAATTAAGCAGATACATCAAAAATGTTGCCTGCCTTATAATGTCCACTTTTTTGACTTATTTGACATTTAGCTTAGTCCTAGCTTTTGAGCTAATTTTTCTGGTTGAAGACACATGTTACAGGTCTTTAACTGTTCTGTTTTGAAACAGTAACTGTAAAAATATTTTTCCCTGTAACATGATTTCTGTGATTGCTTCAGATTTTATACCCTTCTCTGAAATACTATGTACTCCTTTGCTCACTCATAAAGGAAAACATTTCCAGTTAAAAAAGAAAAGTCAAACAAAGGAAACCATTGGACAAGTGGCATTTTTGAAAGTAGTTTAAGAAGGGGGGATAGGGGGGGAAGAGAAAGGGACAGGGGAAGCTTCATTCTGATTTGGATCACTTTCCAAATTGTCACTTTCTTTCCTCAATGAGCAGCAGAGGTAAAATGTCTTTTCTTACTGAGGTAAAAAGGACAAAACAAAACAACAAAACAAAACAACTTAAGGTCTAGATATAGTGCTTTTCAAGGAAATTTTTAAAAGTAAAATTATTTACCAGGGAAAAATTATGGGGTGGGGGAGGTAGAACATTATTGTTTATAGCAATTATTTGACTGTACTGGTCTGTCTTTAATGGGACAATTTGGGTGATGTTTACCTGGAGAAACTGCTATAGCTCAAGTAAAAAGGTGCTCAGAAATTTCAAGAAGTTTCGCATAGTCTTTTCCTGGTTTAACATGTGAGACTGGTTTAGAGCAAACAGAAAATGCATGCCATGCAAGAAAGAGGTGGTGCCAGCAATCTTGAGAGGAGAAGATGGGGAATCTTGGCATTAGAAAAAAAGGTTGCAGTAGGGAAAGCTGCAAAAATGGCTGGAAAAAACAAAGTGAAGTTGCTGGTTGCGTTCCTTATTATGCCTCTTCAGGGAATACCTGTGAAAGTCATTTGCTACCACAGCTCTCGGTTACATATGTTTTGTAAAATGTAGTTGCATTAAATGGTAACAGGTTCTGCTGTGGTTTCCTATGTCTCTGAGTTATGTTTCTTCTTTTAGGAGTGATTTAGAGTACTGGCTGTTGTGAACATTAAAAAAAAAAAAGCTCGCATAACATACTTGGACTAACTTTTTTGCCACACATTTAGATGGAAAATATGTTTAAAATATTATACAGTTGCTACTCTATGGTCATCAGTTTCCTTACTAAAATAAAGGAATTGGTTAAAAATAATGCTGTGTCTTTGAATAGTGCTTCAAAAAAGTAGTTTTTTAATTTCTGAGATTATCTTCTCTTTTGTAAAATTTTATTTACTGTTTTTGAAAGCTGAGCATTGAAACCCAACAGGCAGCATGTGTGAATGCTGATAAAGTGGGCTTCAGCTGGGGATGTGTTTCTGGTCTCATTTCAAATTAAAATTCCTAGGGGATCTTTCATTTTTTGACAAATATACATCTCATCCTAGTGTACAAAGGTTATAGTATTTCTATTCAAATAGTTCTTTTTAATCACAGATTAGGTCAAATTATAGCTCTGTTGTCAGTAATTATCCGTAATTGTATGGAAAGGCTGTAAGCATATGCAGCTTAGTAGTATCTTTTGTTTCCCTTCATCAGAAAAACATCCAGAATCAGGCAGAAGTCTCTAAACAGTACTTGTTTAAAGTAATGGGAATTAACTGGTGACTTCAATGTAAGTAATGTCAGGTCATGAATAATAGCTCTGCTTTGGGGTCATGGGATGTCCAGCCTAGATCTTATTGAAAGTGCCAGTTCTCTATCTTGTCTCTGCTTACAGCCAGCATTAGATGTTTCAGCAGATAGATATGGAATAATGTAATGTGGAAGACTTATAGTAGTACAAAACCCAGAGATTCTGTAAAGTTTTCAAAATTCTGAATAATATTTCCAGCTTCCACTTACTTTAGTAACTCGCTTGATATTGGTGTTTCTGGAAACTTTCATGATCAGGTTAATGTCCACAGGATACCTTCAGTTGCAGTTTTCTTTTTCCTGAACCCTATTGCTGATTTAAACCTTTGAGGTTTTTGTCTGTCTGCATTGGTAGTTGTGGATTACATCATGCAATGGAGAGTTCGAACATTGGTAACTTTAATGTGCTTTGCTTTTTGTTTCCATAGATTTCTCTCTTCTGTGATACCAACAACAATTATGTGGATGGGTGGTTTTGACATCTCTGGTTCAGTCTCAGTTAATGATTTTTCAGCATATTGATTTGTCATTTCTGTGTTTAAACAGTCTTTTTTTAATCTCCTTAACAGAATGGATTTTTGTCTGCCCTACCTTATTTTGGCTGCTGGTTGTGTATAATTCTGTCTGGGCAAATTGCTGACTATTTACGGGAAAAACAGAACTTCTCCACTGTTTGTGTTCGCAAATGTTTTACCCTAATAGGTAGGTGCAACTGTCATCACTTGGAACGTATAATAAGAATAACAATCTAGGGAAAATACAGGGCTTGGGAGAGTAGTCTGACATTCTGCTGTGAGATGAGGCAGCATTGTGCATGGCTTGAGAGAGGCAGCTTTATTTGTACATTAATGTGTCAAGAGCAAATCCTGTCTTTTTCCATGAAATGTAGGTCTCTTGGATAAGAGAACGATAAGAGATTGCCAAAAGCTTTGTTTAGGTCAAGATACATCATTACTACAAGCAAACTGATGAAATAAATGGTGAGGTAAAATCACCATAAAAGGGGAGATAATTGCTTGACAGAATCAAACCTTGTTATCAAATAAGGTTTATCAGACTAACCCAGGATATTGTTCTACATGAGCCCATTCTCAACTCTGTGCTGTTCAGTGTTTTGTATATATGAGACTGAAGTAACTGAATAGGAATACACTTGCAAAATTTACATCTGCTACCAGGGTAAGAAGACCAAATAGAATCCAAAATGGTCTTGACTAATTTGAAGGAGAAATGATCTGAAATCACCAACAGATCTGCAAGGTTAATGAACGCAGGTAAATGGCTGTATTTAGGAAAGAGAAGTTGATTGCTGAATAAAAGAGAGGGCAGGAGAAAGAAATTTTTTTTAAAAAAGAGAGATTAGGCACAGGATCCACTCAGGTTGCAGCCTGTTTGATGTATGGCCATCCTTGCTGCTTCTCAATTCAGCTGATTCAATTGCTTTCTTTAAAGCAGCTCTTATAGTAAACTCTCAGGCATTTTGTTTATTTGTTTGTTTTAAGCCTACACCATTTGGTTGATTCAGTTTACTACAGGGCCTCACACCCATGTATGTATAACTCAAGAGGAAACATGTTGTTGTGTTAGGAAAAGCAGGACTTAGGTTGTCTTCATCAACAAAAGCATGTACTTGGAGCTGTTTACAGAGGTCACAATGGGGGCATGTAAATGGGCTCTGGTACTGGGAAATGGGTACCAAAGTTGCTGCAGACAGAAAGCAACATGTGTTAGCTCATGGTGGCTGAGAAACTATTTCCAGTATCCAATGTAGTTCTCTCAAGCTAGCCTGGAGTCTCTACATTGTGCAGAAGGCTCTGGCGTAGATATACCAGGTGTTCAGATTTTGTAAACATGAAATAAAGCTAATTATAGAATGTGCCTGCAGGAGAAATATGTGCATACATACATATGTGTATTTGTATGAACTCTTCCAGCTCAACTTTATTATGAACTGAAGAAGTCAGTGTTTGTTCCTGAAACTTGGAGAGTTAAATGCGGGTAATTTCTTCACTGTGCACTGTTAACCTACCAGTGTCAGTGTAGCTTCAATTTATTTATAACAATAAATAAAACTAATTTGTGAAGTAATTTTCAGTATCTGTTGATTTTTGTTAATTTTTTTATGTAGTTCAAGTTTGTTCTTTCCAGCTAGAGTGGAATTTTTCTTATCTGTCTGCTGTTTCCTGAGACAGCAGTAGGTTTGCAACCCATCTGCTCTTCCTTTTTATAAGGACATGTAGTGATAGGACAAGGGAGAATGGCTTTAAACTGAAAGAGAGTAGATTTGGATTAGATATTAGGAAGAAATTCTTTACTGTGAGAATGATGAGGCACTGAAACAGGTTGCCCAGAGAAGTTGTGGCTACCCCATCCTGGAAGTGTTCAAGGCCAGGCTGGATGGGGCTTTGAGCAACCGGTCTAGTGGAAGGTGTCCCTACCCATGGCTGGGGGATTGGAACTTGATGGTCTTTAAGGTTCCTTCCGACCCAAACCATTTATGATCCTTTGCTGTCCCATTGTAACATGTGCGGTGCAGAGCCGTGTTCTGTACGCCAGGGGGCAGTGGAAGTTGTATGGAAAATGTATGCACAGTTTGGAGCCTTCCAGTGTCTGTTGTGGTAAAAGTCCACTGATTGGAAGATTTCTGTCTTACAGGAATGATTGGACCTGCGTTGTTTTTAGTAGCAGCTGGATTCATAGGCTGCAACTATGCACTGGCTGTTGCGTTTGTGACGATATCGACAACACTAGGAGGATTTTGTACATCTGGCTACAGCATCAACCACCTGGACATAGCACCTTCGTGAGTATTGCTGAAGCTATTGGTAGTGCATGTGAAACATTTATGACCCTCCCTTTTTTTTCTCTTTTTTTTTTTTTTTTTTTTTTAATGCATTGCTGGGGTGCCTTGGAAATGTAACTATGGACCATGTGCTATACAGACCTGGAGTGTCAACACTGACAGTTACTTGGGTTTACAGTATTAAGCACTGTATTTGCAAAAAGTGCAACTTTGGCGGAGGATATAATATAAACAACAGTTAGAATCATTCCAGTTTTTATCCTGCAGTAATAAATTATATAATTCCTGGAATTATACTTGCTAGATTTTTTTCCTATTTGATTCATGATCTTAATATGCACAGTGTTTTTTGAACGGCAGAATACAGTTAAGTGTTTTGTTCCTTTAAACTTTTCCATCAGAACTATCAATCTTTAGCATGAACATTGCCATATTTAAGCACTGTGATACAGGTATATTATTTGCATTTGGAAAACATTCTATACACTGGAATCAAATCTTGTTATTAGTAAGTGACCTGTCGTCAGTAGGTGACAAATCAGGTACATGCAATTGCTCTGAAATGACTAATTTTTAAGAATGGAAAGTTAAGACTTCGGGCTGTAATATCTGCATTGTGTTACAAATTCAGAATCTGACAGATCCATCAGTTTCCCAAAGACTATGGATGCATGTATATTCTTTTGAAAGTGCACATAAGCATTCTTTTCACTGGCAAAAGTCAAGTATTTTGCTTTGTCTTTCATTTATCTATTTGTGGTAGCACTTAGATATGAACAGGGTCAAATGACTTACTGTCCAAAGAAGACTGTGTTTCTGTGTTAATGTGCAAAATGAAGAGACTTCAAGCGTAAGTGAAGAAAGAAAAAGCATTTTATAAAAATGTTACTTATAAAAAGCTCTGAAGATGCAGACCACTTATAAGGGAGACCTCAGGTCCTAATTGAAGGTGGTGTCCAGGCTTTGGCAATCAAAAAGATGGTGGTCATGTCCACAATGATGGACAAGTTTTCACTTAACAAATGGCTGTGAAATAGTGGGAACCCAATTAATCTTGACAGGTGAGATTAGGTAGCAAGCAAGAGGGGAGGTGTCAGTGGCCAGCTATAAACAGCTGGTACTATGAATAAAATTTGAAAGTAAGAATAGGTTCTGTGATGCACTTTGTTTTAAATCACATAGAATTACAAATTTAGAAGATGCAGTTAAAGCAGTGCATCTGGGGTGTTACAGAGCCATTAGACAACTTTCAAATTTCAAGCTTAGTTTTGCAGAACCACAACAGTTAATTTCCAAAAAAATATATTAAATGGTGCTTGTTAAGTGAGTTAACATTTATCCTATGCACAGAACGCAACAGAGCTGTGACAGGAAAAAGGAAACCATGCAACAGTAGTGTGTGCCTCTGTGAGGCTACACACGAGGAACTTCTGTATGCAGGTGATGGCTGAGGTTTCTCAAACTAGGATGTTGTGTATGTTTTCTAATTTGAGATACTTCACTTTGCATTTCAAATGTGTTTGTTTCAAGAGTAAATTTGTACATGACAGCATACAGAGTATTTTACGTGTTGAAAAAAGACACAAGAAGAAAATGAGGTTACACAATGCTAATGCATGTCAGCAGGCATAGTTAGGTTCCCCGTGTGAACTGCTGCTGATCCCACTGACCACATCCTGCTCTGTTCCTCCTGCCCTTGATAAAGTCCTGCTTTTATTCCCTTTGCATTTACACTAAACAAGTTCTTCTGGGTCTTCTTCCCTCTCAGATAGGCAGAAGGGAGCATATTGATTATGGGTGCAAAACTACTTGCTGGTAGTTCAGGGACTTTGGCCTGGCATTGCCTCTAGAGGCAAACGGCTGCATATGTGGGAAAACTTTCTCTAATGGCTGTTTTATTGGGTGCGTGCTGTTTTATTGAAATCAGTGATTTTCTGTTCAGCACATGCATGTTTTAATTCAGGGTAAATCTGTCCAAATGGGGACTGAGAAGGAAAAAAGCATGTCCTTGTAACAAAGGTCATATTAAAAAAACTTCTTCAAATACAGAAATGCAAAAAAACATCTAAGATGAGAAGAAAAAGAAGGCTGTGTTTCCTCCTCCCCTCCTTACTTAACTTTTTGCAACTGTCTGAATTTTGTTGGATGAAATGTTCAAGGCAGACATCCACAATTTCAAGGAAATGCTTGACATAATTGTAGAAAGCTAAAAATGGAGTTTGCATAAAATTGTGAAGAAAACTCTGTTAAGAGTTTACTTGGAACTCAATATTTATTTTTCTTAATTTGTTTTTCTTATCTTTAGAAAGATATTAGAATAACCCAAAGTGATTCAAAGCAGTCTCAATATGCACATAAATGTCCATTCTGATCGGTTAAAAGTATGCTGGCTAGAATAGCAAAGCGTCTCTTTTTGCTACTAAAACTTGCATTATATCAAAGAAATCATTATTATATTCACAGGAAAGAAGTGAATGAAAATACTGACACTCCAGTAAAAACAATATCTGCTATGTGTTCTTGATTTCTAACATATATTTATTATGCTATCAGTGTATTGAACTGGGGGGAGAGTTGGGGACAGGAGGGAGACACGATTGTTCTTGTGAGGAAAATCTATTCTATTTTAGCTCTTTAAGTCTACATCAGTACCTTTCCATTATTACAAATTTTAGTATTGCTGTTACCATGAGCTCCTGTAATATTCATGTGGCTCAGCTACACACTAAACGTATGTCTGGTTTTTTTTACTCTTGATTTTACTACTTGACTGCTCTGCAAGTTGATTTGTATTTGGGTATTCCACTATGCCATTAGAACCTGACCAACAGCTTACTGTTGGTCTTGCTCTACAGACATGTCACTTTTTACTTTTTCCCTTTTCACATGGGAGTCTCGACTGTGCTGAGGGAGTGGCATTGCAATTATCTGCATCAAACAGCAAGCATTATCAAGAATGTAACTTATGTCAGAAACACTGGGCATAAACAGAGGCATTTAGCCAACAATTGGTTGCCAAAGATCTTTGGCTACCAGGGAAACTCTTAACTATGTTTAGTTTTGAAAGTATGCGTTAGCAGCATTGTAGTACTTAAGCATGTCGAAGACAGTACATTTGGTTCTACTTAAAGGCTTTCAAAGGAGTTTTGCTACATGTGCTTATTTTCCTAAGGGAAACTGTTACACTTGAACATTCAGCTTCATAAAGGCCTATTAATTCTAAAACACATTCCAAGATAAGAAGACTACATGCTACGTTTATAAGAAATAAAGATGGTTTTAACTAAAGCATTGGATCTCAGTCTAAAATACATTGCCATGCTCTAAACCAATATGTAGTATTGACTTTCAAGCAAAAAATCAACTAGTAAACTAGATAATTGATTCCTTTTCAGAGGAAAAAAACATGTTTCTCTAATATCATTGGAATGAATACACATTGCAGCCTTTTGTAACAATGATGTATGGTTGAATTCCCCTGTTTTGGTAAATAAAATTTCAAAACAATACATTTCTCTTTAGAGATGAAATTATTTTTCTCTTACGTTAAAGGTGGTAATGGACATAATTTACTCTGCTAAACAGCCTAAGAGGATCACCGGGAGATGACTCCTTTCTCCTGTGGTGAATTGCAATTGTTAGTATCCTCTATGATTCTTCAGCCACTAAATCCACCTTGGCAATCTGAACCACAGGGGTCTGTGCTCTGGTGGCTGGAAGGTCAAACTCTGCTGTAGAATGTCTGGCTTTTAAATCTTTTCGGTCTCCCTCACAAGTCTGCACTTGTGGTACAGTTTCAAACTCTTGTTATTGCACCATGCCTGTGAGGGAGATCTTTAATCGCTTAGAGATAAGGTGCTGGGACTCAGATATTAAGCAAGTTACCAGGTTTTCCCAGCAAGTTTTTATGGCCTCTGGTGCATAGGCATACATTTGTGTGTGATAGAGCAGCACGTTCATGGAACAGGAAGCCTCAGAATGGAGCTGCAGGAACAGCAACCAGCAGAACTTGTTTAGTTGGACCCACTTCCCATTGGCCTTGACCCACAGAAAGCTGAAGGGAAGGACTACCACAGCACTCTGAACTCCTGTCTTTGGAGTATACACTGTAGTGTAAGTGGAGATATCCAGCCACACTGATTGCCTTTTTGGCACACAAGTTTTTAGCAATGAAACCTGAACCAACTCTTATTGTTGCCGAACAGCACTCTGTCATACTCCTTGTTGTCTTTCTACTTCAAGGCATGCAATGTGTCTTCTCTAACTGCTCCAGTGGCTCCATTCCAGACAGTTTTGTTGTGACTTAACAAAGGGGATGTGGGTTTGGATTATGGATCTTGAGCAAAACCATGAGCAATTTAAGTTAAATTCCATAACTAGCCTCTGGAAAATAGAGACATATAGAATCATTTAGGTAGAAAAGGACCCTTAAGATCATCAAACCCAACCATTAACCTAACACTGCCAAGTCCACCACTAAACCATGTCCCTAAAAATGTATGTACCAAATGTCACTGAGTTATTACTAGAATAAAAGCAAATAACTCCCACTGGAATATTTGTTTTAATTTGTATGTGTGATCAAGATAAGGCCTATGTGATCAGCTTAGACAAAATCATTTCCATGATTGATAAGCAGGACAAGTTAATAAGCAGCACTAACAACTTCTCTTGCAGGTATGCTGGAATTCTCCTTGGCATCACAAATTCTTTTGCTACTATCCCGGGAATGGTGGGGCCAGTTATTGCCAAAAACCTCACTCATAATGTAAGTCTGTTTGCTATTTTTTTCAGTTGTTATATTTTTGTCTCAATTGAATGGAAAGTCTGTCTTCTCACATTTGCAGTCATTAAATGAAACCTGAGTTACACATGTAAGTCGTATTATTTTGTTGCTGTGAATTACTTAATTCCTAGCCTTTTTTGTTCTCATTCTGATCAGGAAAATATAGGTAAAGTCAAAGACCTGTGTAGGACTTTAAAATTTTATGACTCACCCTTTATATTCTCTATGAATAAAATTAATATGTTTTGATCACAGTAGAGCTCTGATAAAATGCCAACTAGATGAGACAGTTGTGGCATTGTTTTATCAAACTAGGACAAGTTCATGCTTGTTTTTTTTTATTAGGTTCTCACGTGAGTTGCTGAGTTATAATGTCAGCATTTTTCAGATAAGTGAGAAACTAGATTCTAGTGTTAGATTTGACTTCCAAGATGGTTTAGTCAAAGAATGATTTGTGTAAAGGGAGTGAGGAGTTTTTGATTACTATTTTTTAATGAACTGTATGGATTATTCTAAAATCTTTTTAAGAAAGGGAGATGGGAGGACTAAGTTTATTGATAGAGTTGAATTTTTGGAGTTGGAGATAATTTTAAGGATTTCCTAAAAAAAATCGAAAAATATTCATTAATACATAATTCCAATAAAATTAGTTCTTCCAGACATCTTAAATAGTGGGTTGTTTGGGGGTATTTTTGTTTGTTTTAGTTTCCCCCCCCATATTAATGCACTCTTCTGGTATTCTGTTTTTGTAGTAGGATCATTTACAGGTTTGTAACAGTAGTCATCTGGAACTTTTCTTAAGTACCACAGAGTACCATAGAGGATTCCTCTTGAAATCTGAGTTAAGGTGGCTACCTTGTTTGGACTAAAAAGCTTATGATTCTGGAATTGTTGTCATTAAGAATAGCTTACTGGATAGCACAGGGAACTTCAGCTCTTGGATCACAGGACCTGAAAGCAAGGTAGTGTTTCCCCATACAGTAACATTCTGAGTTCACGTTGGTGGTTCTGCATCTCAGATAATAAACTGATCCAGAGAGTGTAATGCAATTCTGATAGGACTATTTGTGTAAGCTATATTATTAAACTGAAGTTGACTATATTGATAATTTCATCCATTATGTTTATAATCCTTATATGTTGCTATGAAATCATGCTGAATGGCATTTACATTTAAATAGGCAAGACATGTAGCGTCGATTTTGAAATTACTTTTTCTTGAGTGTGGAGCTGCAAATTGACTGCATCTTTTTTTTCCTTACCCCATTTGACAGAATACTGTGGGAGAATGGCAGACGGTTTTCTATATTGCTGCCTCTATTAATCTATTTGGAGCGATTTTCTTTGCATTATTTGCAAGTGGAGAAGTTCAGGACTGGGCAGTCAGTGGATATCGCTTGCATAGAAACTGAAGACGTTGAAATACCAAAGCTGTGCTGAATCCCAGTGTGCTTAAAATTCTGTGACCGGAAAAGTGCCTTCCCTACTGATGCCTAGGAGTCTTCAGAGCTATTAAGTTACACTATTTTATGTGTGCATCTTTTGTATTGAAAATAATTTGACATCCTGTGTGTGCTATTTCCTAACAAGAAACTGCTTGGATTAAATATAAAAGTTTTTTGCTGGGACGTGATATCAAACATATGAACAGAGACTTTTTAAATCAGTGTGCTAGGCTCCAATACTTTCTAGTTTTTAATTAATATTTTCTGAATTAATGTGTAGGCAGATGTTTATTGATACTGAAATGAGAGGAAAAAGTAAAATGATTATGTAGCACTGTAAGGAGGAATGGCATGCAAAGAATTGTACCAAAAAAATGTGTTTCAATTTCCATTATGAGATTAATAGTTTTTTGCTATTTAAAAGTGTAGAAGATCTCTAGTTTTCTACAATATTTTTTAAGGCTTTTATTTTGTCAGTGTTTCGATGATGGCTAAGAAATGTACACAGGATTTACTTCTATTTTACTCACAAGTTTTTAATATATAAACATTCCCTGTTTAATGAATACAACTTCACAACTAATACACAGCAGTGAGGAAGTAAATGTACCATTTGGACTGACAGAATAAGCTATGTGTCCTCTGTAGCACAGCTTTTTTTAAATAGGCCTTATTTTCATTCATCTCTGCAAAGAGGTAGCAGTCCAGCTGTGTGGTTTAAATCTAGTACAAGAGTGAACTAGAAATAGAATATCGGCATGTTTACCTTAAAATAACTTTGTTTGCAATTCATTTTTTGTCTCTTTAAATCGATGCAGTGGAATTCTTTCCTCTTGCATGTAGATATGTTAGTCAGCTCATCAGTGTAAAAGAAATATAAGGCCAGCAAATAATGAGGAAAATCAGTTCTCTTCTTTAGAAGCCTTGTTTGTTAGTCTGATAAAGCTAGAGTAAAACAGAACTAGTGCAATAACCTGGTGCTGTTAGTCTCCTACCAAGACAGAATTTGACACTCAAGAGCATTCTTTGCACAACACACAGTTAAATGCCTCACAGTAGGATTAAATGAAGTGTATGAAAGCAGTGGCCTTGTTAAGAACAAACAGCTGAATAATCTTGTAGCCACAAAGCAAAGGAAAATTCCTGTGCCAAAGATTCCTGGATTGGAGCAATTAGGTAAAAAAGAAACATCACTGGGTTCTGGGTTTTTCATTTACGACCAATCCAAAAGAAAAGCCCAGTACTAAAGCTGCTCCAGTGGAGCCTACCGTCCTTCATTTCTAGGAAATGGCATCTGCCTCTTCTTTTTAGCTTTAAGAGCCATTTTGTTTTGGCCATCCTTGAAGTGTCATGTTCTCTGATGGTGGATTTAAACTGTGTTTAAATCTCTTCTTGTGTCTGCAGCAGTTCCACAATAAACACTGTGAGTTCAGATTAAATTAGTACTTATTCAGTGGGAATATGTTAAAGCTATATTGTGTCTTCAGTGTTTCCACAATAAACGGATTGAATATTTACATGTGCATCTGTTGTTGAAAATTACTATCTCCCTGAAGTTGAAACACCATTTTGAAAGTATGCTGAACGAGGTTAGTGACTGGATTAAGGAATGGTTAATATTTTCCTGGAAAATTACCTTCTTCAGAAGTATTTTGTCTAGCTTTACAGGTAAGTACTGTCTTCCACCTGACACTATATTAAAAGGGATAATTTCACTTCATGTTTACAGAATTTTCTACTCTTTCAGTAGCTTGGGCTAAAAAGAAGGGAGACAAAAGTTAAAAAAAAAAAGTTATATGGATTAAATTAATTTATGCCTTTGCTTTTCTAGGGTTCATGAGCAGGACAACATAGGGACAGGGTTGCAATTTCACCTGTTCTGAAGCTGGAAACTTCAGCTTCCTGTGTTTCTAGTCTTTTTCATTGAAAACAGCTCAGTTGAATATCCAGAATTTTTTAAAAAAAGATACTTAAAGGAGTAGAAGCAATAGAAATGAATGTAGGCATTCTCTGTATCAATAAAAAGAGCCTGAACTGGATTTAGTTAACATGGAGTCAGTTTTAGGCATATCAGCAATTGAGCAGTCCAGAAACTTTTGACCAGCATACTAGATTTTATTTTCCCTTCACCTAATGCACCATTATTACTCATTTTGTATACTCTGTAACTTTTAAGTCAGCTTGGAAAGTAGGACTTAAAAAATTGCTATAAATCCTTATATTATTTCTAGACAACAGGCCACAGTTAAGTTAGCTATTTCAAATTTTATTTTTAAAACTATCAAAATATGGGATGGGATTCTTCAATTCAGTGAGGCTTTTAACACATAACAAACATGAAAACCTAAAAAAAATTTAAGTTTTACCTTCCTTGTGCTGCAAAAAGGAAAACCTATTAGAAAAAGCTGTCAAAATATTTTCTGCTAACCATTATACTGTTTCTATTGCATTGCCATGTTCCTGTTTGCACAGTTCTCTCAGTCAGTTTCATCTGTTCAAAGGCATTTCTCATATTCTGTATTTTAAGAAGTAATGAGGGTTTTTTGAGTACCTCTTGTCTCAGTTCACCTGTGCTACACAGGTTCTTGAGATAAATTGGGAAGGTTTATTGTGGTGACTCTTTTCCTGAAACAATCCTGTGATTGTTATTTTTGCTGCCTTTCCTTAACAGGCACACCAGAGTAAGAAATTTTGCTCTCCATTCCATGAAGAACCCTCTAATTAGGATGTCCACCTGGAATAAGGGAAGTAAGTTCAAAAACACATTTCACCCACTTCTGAGCAGGAGTTGAACAACTGCTTTGGACCATGTCTTAGTGTTACCAGGTGTTTTTAAGTGCTTTCTCCTCAATGTCTCCTTCTGATACAGCAAAATTCTATCAACACTAGTAACAGAGATGGAATGTCTTCTCAGAATATCCTACAGCATGTGACGTGGGTATGGCCTGAGATCTGAACCGTGGTCTTTTACACCTTCATCATGCTTTCCAAAAGATGACTGGCCACAAAGTAATGGGTGTGTTTTCCAATTCACTAGTTCTAAGGGTACCACAGTTGTGCACCTTAAAGAAGTTTGAAATATTTGACACCAACAAACACGACTTATGTCGCCCATGCTAAACTAGTGAAAGTTTATATAACTCTTCATAATGTTATAGGCATCTGTGCATTGTGCTTCCCCATCTACATGTTCCTCTGTAACTGGTAACAACTGTATTTGCTGTGTGAAAGGGTCACCTTAGTTAACTTCCCAGAAGTTGAATTGGTCCTGTGATGTATCTTTTTCCTGGCTCCTCTAATCACTTGGTTACTTATATGCCAATTTCTCCTCTTTCACTGCCTGGGAATGTTTGTTTCCATGACAAATGAACTAACCTTTGAGTTTAACAGGTCTTCTGATATTTTTAGCATTTGTCAGGAAGGAAAACTGTGGGTGAGGAAGCCTACACATTATACAGAAAAGTAAGACAGGTTGTATGGAAAGGTAGTATCTTCTGTTAGATCACCTAGAACATCAGAGAAAAAGAGACATGCTTTTAAACTTTAAGCTTCCTCTTTTACATTTTGCCCTCAACCATCACAACTAAGACACTGCTATTGTGTTTTGTAAGCTGTTACAGTGAGTAGCATCTTAAAAGGGTCTCCCATTTCTCCTCTATCTCAAAAATGTCTACTGTTAAATCACATGATTTAAGAGGAATCCGATCAAGCCAAATCAAATCAAAGCAATTCTCACTCAAACAGTCATAGGCTGGCCAAATCCTTTTTTGACACCTGTCAGTAAAGATGGTGTCTCTGTTAGTACAGAGGCACTGGTCTGAATTGTTATACTGAGAAGGATATGTCTGACTTGAAGCTAAGGAAAGGATATAAAGTGACATGAATGATTTGGTATTAGCACATTTTGCTATTACTGTGCCCAAGGGGAGGAAATCACCACACCAGCAGTGGCATATTTATCAACAGCAACACAGATAATCCTGAAGATATGGGGATAACTACTTAAGGATAAGCTGGTTAGCCTCATGTTTGGCTAACCAGTTTCTATAACTCTTCTATAACTCTTTTATATGAAGATATATAACAAGCCTTTGTGTTTTTTTTAATGCATTTGTTTAACTAATCACAATGTGACAGAGTCAACTCTTTCCTGATTTGCTACTTCATGCTTCACTCATACAACAGTTATTAATATTTCTACAATTCTGTATCTAATTGACTATATGTTTATAATGCTGAAATATAGCTTAAGAAAGGGTTCGTTTATTTAGACTTTATCTTAGTTATTAACATTATTTTGTAGGTTTCAAATAGCCAGAAAAAGAACTGCAAGGAGACACTAGCAGTTATTTAAATCCTGGTTGTGTAGCAAATGGTGGGGAGGGAAGCAGGGGGGAGCAACAAAGGCATGCCAGAGGATAAAATAACACTCTATTAAGTGAGACACTGGAGACCCTCCCAATTAGATCCCCATTGCAACCTTTCTACTTCTCCTCCTTCATAAAACTGCCATAACAGTGGTTGGTCATATGTTTTAAACTAAAACTGCATCTATGTGATTCACATTCCTGACAAAGAAATCATTTTTTTATTGTATGTAAAACTATTGATCTGACTTAGTGTAACACTTGGTAATTGCTAAGAAGCTCCAATACACATCTGGCCAATGTGATTCTCAAAGAAGTCATAACTCAAGCCAGTGAAGATTGCATTTTTTTGAGGAAAGTTATTTCCATGTGAAATTTTAACCGTTTGTCCTTATCCGTTAAGCAGTGCTGTCCTAAAGGAGTTGCATGTGTTATTTTTTCTTATCCCATGTAAGGTCCAAAATTTGGAGTTGATCTTTACTTCTCAGTGACATACTTAATAAGATTGCACATTGGCAGAGTTCAGGCCTGGATCAGACACAAAACATGAGAACTCTGGTAGTGGAGTAGTCAAAGAAGGTTCAAGAACTGGTGTACATTTTCAAGTGAATGCAGATTAACTTCAGAATAATGATAACTTTGCTCTTATTGCAACATGACCTGTACAAGGTTGCAGCACACTGCAAGAGAGGGTACCTGGGAGTTGCCCAAGGCATAGCAACAGAAAGAAAGTGTAGCTTATTAAGACAAAATTCTGTTTGCCTGTCCTCTTTTAAAGAGTAGCCATTTGCTATAGAGTAGAGCTGAGTGAAAAGTGGTAATAGCCTTTGATAATGTGTTCTTAGAAGGAAATTTCATTACAGGAATTTCTTTAAATCTTTTTTTGTACTTTATAGAAGTTTCCACATGGCAGCTTCAGAGTAGGAAATGAAATAATAATTTTTCTGGTCTTTTCCTAAATTAAACTCCATTGTGGACACTTAAGCTTATCTCAGACACAAGGTCATGTTTTCTGATGGAAAACACAGTTCTGTTGATATTTCTCTACCTCTTCTTCTGAAGTATTCTAGCAGTAAATGACTAGTCTTCTATTTCTGAACCATCTTACTAGCTGAGAAGACTCAAGAGATGAGCAGGAGAGGGTTTGTTTGGTTTTGACTGGGGGGGGAAATGTGAAAACAAACAAAAAAAAAAAGACAAACCATCTTTCTCACACTCCTTTTTCCCTGACCATCAGCCTTCTGTATCTACAAGTTAAACAGTCTCTGCTGAAGGGAAAAAAAAAGAGTTTTTCATGTATTCATTCATTAGAAGGAAATAAAGCAAGAGTCCTGCAACAATTGATCATTTGTAAGCAATTTAGGGTAAACATAATATTCTAAAAAATTCAAGTAATTTATGTGATAATATGACCAAATAAAGAGAGTCATTGCTGTGGCCATCTTTAAAAGGAAACTGCAATGGAGTATATTTTGCAGCTCAATTCATGACTGACACTGTCTGTCAAAGCTTAAGAAGCATTTAGACAGGACCCTTAATAGTTTGCTGTAACTTATGGTCAGCCCTGAAATGATCAGGCAGTTGAACTAGATGATCATTGTAGGTCCCTTCCAACTGAAATATTCTATTCTAAGACCTATGTCTGTCAGTTCCATTGAGCATTATGTAGTTTTAATGTTACTACTTAAGCAAAAGCACTCCAATTTCCTTTTGCATGAAGAGTCAGAGGGGGAAAGTGGGGAGACAAGAAAAGGAAGGAGGGCATTTCCTTTAATAACACCAAAAAATGTCAGTCTTCTGAATGATCTTAATATTGAACTGTATGAATGTACAAAATGTCACTAAGTGAAATTTGCCTTTGACTTGACTAACTTACGATGCTTTCAAATTTGCATGATATGCATGGTCATTGCATCTTGCATGGTTGTTTTGTTCATCTGGGAAAGGACATACTAACTTGGAGGGAAAAGTGATTTTTGCTGTCCAGTAGAAAGGAGGTAATAATGTGTTGCTCTGCTCAGATAGGACGAGAAATCAAGCTCATAGCAATTTTAGAGGAATTCATTATTAGCCACAATCTGATTTGCCATCAAATTTCTGTCATTACCTTCATCATAACTGGCATTAATTTCACACAATCACTGCTCCTGCA